GAAAATATAAACTCTCCAGATTTTCTAACCTATTTAGAATTAAGAGACAGTCATATACTATATGGTCACATAGTTACCCTATCCTAGTTGGGTGAGATGTAAATAGATGCCCATTGTACTATTCATTGATCTGTAAATCCTTAGACAGTATGGGTAATTACTTATCCTGGTTGTCCCTAGGACATATCTTGATTATAATAAAGCTTCCAAACTGGCACAAGAATGAGCTAGTGTTTATAAAAAAAAAGTAAAAAAACTCTTTCTCTAAATTGAGCTTAGAGTACTTAGTTTAAAACTTAACTTTGTTTAATTTGAACTATCTCAATAAACTTTCTCATTTTTCTAATAGTTTAAATTCTTTAATTGATAATGTACAAAGACAAATCAATGGCCATATGAAATGTCATTGTTACATTGATTTGTTTTCATTATCATCCAATAAAGAAAAGCAAGGATGGCATGAACGTGAATTTTTTTAATATCAAAATTGGAATTTTTTTTTGTCAAAAAATAGGATCAGACAATTAATATTTTACTATACCCTAAGGAGAATTGGAAATATGCCTTACAGACCGATAAAATCCATTAGTACGATTCCAGATTGATCACGCAAATGCTATCTACTTCGCACATTATTTGCAAACGGAGAAGAATACGGAAATCTTATTTGGATGCCATTTATATTACTGGATGATAATGCAGAAAGTAAATTCGTGGTGAAATAATAGTGTGCGAAAACAAAAAGACGTGAAACTTATGTATATATTATTCTACATAAATTGCAATTTTCTGAATAAAAAAAAAGTCTTAAAAATTCTTAAATTATCGAGGGATTTCTTCTTTTATAAATTCTAACAGCGACAGATCATGCGCGAGTCCTTCCACACCTTTGTTTTTATTTTCAGATCTAATCGCTAAAAGAATGTCCGCAACCACCCATGGAAAACTTAGAAGCCTTGTTTCACTTGAGTCGACATCATCTTTGTCAAATGTCTTATCGTAGGTAACCATATACCATGCCGACGCCTTCACCTTAGTTTCTTCGTTTATGGGTATTACAACGTGATAACTGAAATGATCTTCATCTGATGTTTCGGTATTCTCACTTCCTCCTAACTCCATCAAAAAAATTTTGCGAAAATTATGTATAATGACTGATATTGCACCTGAAATTGTTTCACGAATATCCTGTCTTTTTCGTCCATTTATGCGACGATGACCGAGAATGTTTGACGTAACAATCTCCGGTTCTGTTTCTATACTGTATTTCTTCATTAAAGTTCTTATCTCGGAATTATATGCATCCCTTTGGATAATAGCTTCTTCCAGATATTCTTTAAACCCTTCGACGTAAAAATCACGTGTCGGCTTTATCCCGTCGTTAGTCTTGTAATTGAGAAGAGGATCTTCATCAGGCTTATCGAGTATTATTTTTCGATATAATTTTCCGAGAACCTTCTGGGAAGGATATGAACGTTTACGATTATTTTCCATAAAATCGGGATATACCGGTATAGACGGTAATAGATCGGTCACAGGTACTCCTGTTTTATTAAAATCGACGGCCATCGAATGCTGCAAAAATTATAAAATTAAAAACAATCGTACGATTAAAAGAATTTTTTTCCTTAATGGGAAACGGCAATATTTGTAATTTAAATGATAAGCATACATATTGTGCTAATTCTAAACAGTTTTTGCTACGCACTCCTTCCGCCTCATAATCTGCAAATGCCAAGTGTAGATTGGCAATTTGTCCTAAGCGATTATTGATCATAAAGTCTGTGAAAAATTCACAAACGTCAGAAATTTCCACAGGTCGATCCAGTTTCTTGCGTTTTGGCGCCTTGTAACTCATCGGTTCTTCGTTGCTAACGAAAAAAATCCTTTCGTCAAAACACACAAGGTACTCATCACCATCTGTATACCATATTTTGCGTTACTTAGCCTTCCGGATTTTAGTAAAAAATAATAAAAAATGAAAATAACATAAAAATAAAAAAAAAATACCCAAGTCTCCGCCGCTCTGTACAACAAACGATATTAATGATAGCGGTTAAACAAAATTGAAATTTAGAATACGTTTATCGTATTATTAATGTAAATACTAACCAGACAGTTAGGCAAAGGTCTATCCCCTTTCTGACTAAAAACAACGCAATTATAAAGATGAGAAAGTTGTGGAACATCCACCGCAGTCACCATTTGAATGTCTCCCGGATGTAGACACGGATTCCTGGTTATTACTATAAATTTAGGTTAGGCATAGATTTTATTTTCATTGCAAATATAAATTTGTAAAAACAATTTACCTGCTTTCCCCCGATGCACCTCGTGTACCCTTTCTACCTTCTCGTTCATATTAGAAAAGGTTTGACTTTTCGACACAATAGTCGATGTCTGAACAAATATTTGACCTTAAGATTTAAAATGCTTTAGTCAAAACATCAGGTACTAAAACAATGAATAGATCACGTTTAAAATTACCAGCTTCCAGAGTGCCCGTCTCATCCAAAATCCCAAAAAGTAGAAATGAATTTGGCATCAAAATGCGAGCCTTATACCTCAAGTTCTGAAGGGCGAATATCCTTTTACATTCCAAAAGTCCTCTTAGGAATGGTTCCTCCGTCTTCATCATTCCCTGATATCACCCATTGAAATTTTAAAGAACTTAAACTTTAACTCAACTCATCTAAGAAAGATCTTGTAAAATCTAGGAAGAATTGCACAACTGATTACTGAACCTCTTCAATCATGCTCAATATAGTCCTCGTTACATGCGAGCATTCCCTGGAGCCAATACTTCTGTTCACAACATCACGCGCCTTATCTTCGTTTTTCGTCATCAGATCTATATCCTCTCTCATGCTATCTTGCAGTTCCATGAATACATCATTTGGAACACCAAGTGACTCTAATATAACTATTATTTGCCGGTTTAAATGACCGGCTAGAGGATTTCTAACCGTCTTACATATCTCTAGATTTCTAGATACCGGTGCATCAAATTTTGTCTGACTTGGGCGTATGCATAATACATCGCCCTGTAAATTTCGATCCACCGAGACCACACCCTTATTCGATTGTTCATTCAAATAGATCTCAGTTCGCAACGTTACTCTAATAAGTGAATAGCAAGAATCCTAATATCTCACCTTGACTCCTCCAAATCTGATCTGAAAAACAGAGGGTACTTCTTTATCTCTTTGCTTTGATCCCCAGTAAAATTTAGTCACGCGTTTAGCTAAATTTTCAGATATAGTTCCACACCCGTCGCTATAATGTCGTGAATAGAATTGATAAATTATATAATTCTTAAAAAAAAAGATTTCTTTTTTTTTTTTCCTTTATTACCTGAAAACATAATCATTTCTTTCGATATCATCTATCTTTCTCACTTGTCTCTTATCGAGTTCGATGGTGCCAACTGTGCTTGAAAAGCATTGCCCCATGCGTGCAGCGTACAACGCAGGTGACCTAATGGAACTAAAAAATGAAATATAAAATTAATCTTGAAGGAACTTAACTTCTCCCTTTTATCTATTCCTCACCTAAAATCACCCATCAAAGAACGAATGTTATAGGCATTAAATTCACTGTCCGCCAAAGCATATGGTGAGACAAACCAGCAAGCACCCTCACGGAGTTGGGACGAAGAAAAGGCCAAAAATTCGTAATTTCTTCCCGCAACCTGGAATCCTTTATTCATTATAAGCCCTACTCTTTCCTCATATATTTCACAGTCTTGAACGTTAATGAATAACCGGTCAAAGTTTTCATCACAGAAATCGACGCGCATGAATCTATCGAGGTAATGCTCATACTGGCGAAGGATACGATTCGACGGCTCATAAGTAGGGCCATCGAAATATATCTTAGTGGGTGTGATTGTCGCGTGGTTTATCAACGCGCATCGAGCATTACTCTTCATTGATATATTAGGATTTTTCGGATGCCATTCCTTATATTCACCGCGGAAGTTTTTGACTGCGATTTCAAAGATGTTTATCGGGCGCTGGCTATAATGATCGTCTGAAGGATCCCAATGCTGAATTGTCATCTGGTTTAACGCATACCAGGCAATTGTCTCTTTACCCTCGCGAACCAACTCTACCAATTGATCTCCAAGTTGATGATCATAGATTTCGTTTAGAGTGATGGTTCCGTGCGAAATTAAACTTTCCAACTTGAATCTTAACGCAAATGGTAATAAATGAATTATTTCATCTAAATATGTAAGAGGGTATATTGGAACTTCTTTTTGTTCTACATTTGCGTAAGGGATGACTTTAGGAATACCTGGCAATGTACTCTTTTTTAAACTATTTTTTATTTCCTCGATATTATCTACAAACACTAGACGATACACCAGACATTTTCCGAATACATTTACTCCTCCCGTCCAATCAATAGTTCGTCTAAACGATTCTTCCATAGTCTGCATAACGGAGAACCTTGAGTGGGGTTTATTTAACATCATAGAATTATTCTCTTTTTGATATAGGTGGGGCGGATGTTTTATTGAGAGATATACGGAAAGCCTATCATGCCGTGGATCAAATATAATACCCTTCTTACCATCTAATAGGCGAAAAGGTATTTGAACACGTCTTTTATCATCACTCCCGGCTGAAAATCCTTCCAAAAAAAATGTGTTCTCAAAAATGATTAACTGTGGCTTTAAAAACTCATTGGGATATTCCCAATTCTTCTTGAACGACCATATTTTCTTTTTATCCTCTTTACTTCGTGGTTGACCGGCCCAGTTTCCCATTTCTAAGTTTGCGACTTGGAACACGAATTCATTAATAAAAAAATAATCTATTCCTATTTGTCTATTTTGTCCACTCCGTATGGTTAATGGTCTTCCAAGGCATACAGGTGGATCATACTCTACAAAACCAAGTAGCTCGTCTGCATCCTCTGGATTCAATAAAATGAATCCAAACCCTTTATTTCTTAAGGGATCTCTCTTTTTTAATTCGCATTTGCGAACTTTAACGTGCCTACCGCGTCTAATGAAAAACGATTCTATTACATCAATAATGTTTTGAGCAGTTGCATGGAAAGGTATGTTGCCCACGTATAATTCCTTATAATGAATTTCGGATTCAAAATCGTTCATTGCGCGGGAAGAGAGAAAAGAATGCTATAAACGCACGTACTTTATACATGTATTTTATAGTAAAAGGAACATAGCCTTAACTTGTAATTTAAGTTGTGTTTGGTTTTCCTAAATGGAAAGTGGCGCTGTTACACTTTCATGTGCCTCAACCTAGATTTTTTCAAACGTCATATGGTGATACAAGAATTATTTGGTTTTTTTTTTAAACCCGTGGTCAGGCTAGCATTGTATACTGTATCATGGCTAAACTAAATCATATGCTGATTTACTCTTCAATTCTAAAATGAACTTTAGCCTCTAAGTGTAATCTTGGAAACAATAATTTGCTCCGGAATAAGTTTTGAATAAAAATCCTTCTAACTTGTCTATCATTATCAATAGATTATTGCTATCTATTATTCTTCAAAGAATTGATTTCAAGAAACTATAATAGAAAAAAGGAAAAATAAAAGGAAGAGAAATATCTAAAAATATACAAATATATGTATATGAAGAGAAAAAAAAAATAAAAACAAAAATATTTCATGTTCTTTAAAGAATTTCTACTAGAAACTTTTTTATATTAGAAATCAATCTTTTTGAAATATTCTTTTTCTTTTTGATTATCTAAGAAACTTATCTATTTATAACTTTGATTATTTTTTTATAATCAGCTAAGATATTTATTACCTATTCAGATCCAATATCTTGTTTATCACTTTCTTTCTTTTAATATTGATTTATATTCACTTGCATCAAATCATAATTTATAATAAATCCTATGTTCTTATATGACTTTTCAGTCATATTGTATAACTACTAATATCTTTCAATAGCAACAATCTTTTTGTCTTGTAATAATAGAAAAGTATTACAAAATAATGAGGATCTTCTTTTATTATAATATCATTATACAATATCTGAAAAATATATTTTCAATTCTAGAAAAGAATAGTGATTCATAATTTTTTTATTTTTTAATCCTATTATTTAATTGAAATAAGGAAATAATCTCTTTTATATACTTTGCCTAACCAGAATAATAAAAAGTTAAAGATTTTAGCTTGAATAAATAATCACTTTTTCATCATTTAGAGAATTTAATATCAATTATAATAATCTCATAATTTCTTTACTTTGATTACATATTATTTGAAGAAGTAGAGAATTTTATATCAATAGATTCTTTTTTTTTTATCAATAATATTATCAGAATATATAAGTATGGTCAATAAAACCTTGTTTACATTTTACTATTAACATGTTTATATCAATTAATTAAAAGTCAAGTAATATACTATCAAAAATTCAAGGTTAAGCTAAGGTAGACAAAAAAATTGTAAAAATCTATAGACACTTTAAGAAAGCAAAAGACAATATATGAGAAGGTGAATAATAAATCTTTACTTACTAGAAAATCTTTATCTTTATGTTACTTTCAACTCTTCAAAATAATATTTCACTAGTTTAATCTACTTTCTAAAATCTTCTTGTCTTTAGTGGAAGAAATACATATTTAAGTTTATTTAAATTACTAGAGGTTCAAGTTTTTGTTTAAAAGAGTTTATAAACAAGTAAGAGAGAATAGTAATGACTCTTGAAAACAAGTTTCATATTCTTTTAAGAAAAGTAAAAAGACTTTGTTAGTCAAGAAGTATTAAAACTTCTTGCAAACATTTTTTTTATATATGGTCAGAGGATTAATGAAAAAAGTTTTTATAATATAAGAATTATTGATTTTATACTATATATTATTTAATTTATAATTTTTTTTAATCAATTTTTTCTTATTTTAAAGAGTTTTTATATAGCTTTCCATATAATAGATTATAATAGTTTTAAAAATACTTTTGTGAGATCTTAATTCTATCTTTATACAGTATATATATAGTATGTAACAAAACTTTTTGAAATTTTTTTAAAATATATATTTTTGTTTATAAATTAATAAAAAATTATTCAAATTATTTAAAACTTTATTATATATTTTTAAAGCATAAATATAAAAAAATATAAAAAAAAAATATTAAAAATATTATAAAATTTATTTATTAATTTTAATTTTAAATTTATAAACAAAAAATTTTACATATAAAAAAAAAGATTATAAAAATTTTTTTAAAAAATAAATTTTATATAAAAATCTTAATTAATTTTGTTTTTTTAGTTATAAAGAAATTATTTATAAAATAAACATTTTTTCATAGTGATTTTTTAAAACTCTTTCTACTGATCCCTTGACACCACACAAAAATGATGTTTATAAAAAGGTTTATACTTTTTTGCTAATAAAGTCTTATTATTTTCCTTAAACCAACTTGAAGGATAACTTCAAAATTCCCTTCCAACCTCCTTTTCTTGTTTATATTTCTTTTCAAACAAAAACTTGACTTTCAGTAATCAAGAAACACCTTTTTTACCTATGGCAAGAAAGTTCTAAAAGGAAAAAAAACCAATAGTGAAGTACTGAAAGCCTATTTCCTGAAACAAGAGTGCAACTAGAGGTTTTGTGCAGTGGATAGATGGGTAAACAAAAGCCTAAACTATAAAACTTTTCTTTCCTCTGTTTCTATCCTCTTAGAGTCACTTATTTTTTAGAGTTTTTTAAGAATTTTGGCTACCCTAGCTTGACCCTGAATTTTGAAGTGACACAAAATTGACATAACTTTTGCTAAAGGTGATTGGTTGACACTAAACACATTGGTAGCAGAATGTAAACAAGCTTCTACTAATTACACTACATATTTCAATGATATCATTGGTGAAAGAAAGAAAAAGTATGGGTATGGATTCCTCCACTCTTCCAAATGAAGTGTAACTGAAGCAAAGAAATCATGAGACTATTTGGATAGGTACTAAATTTTCTAGGTGGTAAAAAGGTGATTATTTGTTCAAACCAAGACCTTCAACTTCTTATCATCCCAGTCAGGCAATATCACAATTAAGATAAATACCAGTAAATTTCTTTAACTAGGTATAGCTGCTGGAAGATATCAGAAGTTACTTAACAAAACTAAAAAGCCACATAAGAACCTGGAGTTCACCATTAGTCATCTTCTTCTGCATGGGTAGATATAAAATCAAGATGAAAGAAAGGAAACATTGAGCAAGACACTGGATCTGAGTAGGGGATAAGTACCTTAGATGCTCACAAGAAATAATCAAAATCATGAATGGATAAGTTCTTCAGATAGTTAAGAAAAAGAAGAATATCCCAAAAAAGTTGACTTCTAATAAGAAGAGATTTTTAACAGAAGTTCTTTGGAGGACATGGGACACTTTTATTTTTTCTTTTTATTTTTTCATTTTTATATAGCACAATTATGCATTTTTAAATATTCTCTTTCTTTCCCCTTTTCCTTTTTGAGTTTTTGAAACTAGTTACTTAGAGGATAATAAGCAGTGACAACTTGCTAGCAATGATAGGTAAGTTGGAAGAGTCTTTATCCAAAACTAGGTCTGGAGTGAAATATTGTTCCCAAGGTTGCACTTAGAGGCTGAAGCTCTTCTAAAAATTGAAAACCATTGACAAGTGTATCAGTATAAGTCTTTTAGTTTAGCCATGATGCAATTGCCCTATATATCTCTATCAGTTTTCTTAATGATTAATAAATATACAATACTGGCCTGACATGGGTATTAAAAAAAAAAAATTTATAAATATAACTTTAATTTATAAAAATTAGTATATAAATTTATCAATTATTTTATTTTATTGTTAATAAATAGTTATTTTACAAAAAAAAAACTCTTTCCGCTGATCTCCAATTTTTTAGAAAATTTCTTTTTTTAGTAATTTTTGAGAAAAAGAGAAACCAGCCAAAAAACAAGAAAATCCACCTTTACAACCAAACAACTTGCAAAAATAAGTTCAAGAACTCTTTACAGAGTGCAGAAGAGATAAGTTTTACAAAAATTACTAACTTCTACTATATAAATTTTTTCTTTTAGAAAGAGACAAACAACAAGAAAGACTGAATAACAGTAAGCTCTTGGAAGCCTAACATCAACCTCACAAAGCTCCTAGCCAGACCAGTGCAGGTTAATATCTTTCTAGACACTAAAAGAAGCTTTACAAGCAATAACTCAAACCAATAAATCAGTTCAAGTCCAAATACTCATAAAACCTAGAGAAATATCCAAGCTTCATTAACTATACAGTAAAAAAGCATACATATCACAACAACAGCATTTCAATAATATTATGTCATGCAAATACAGACACATATATTTTTCACAACAAGCTCAAAAACATATCAAATAAACAACGTTAATATACTTTTTACATGTTTATGCAAATCAATTATTAACAATTTCATAATCCCATATATTTATGCAAATCAATTATTAACAACTCATAACTCCACATATTTATTATTGACTCTAATCAACAATATCAACAATACTATCACAATATATACGTGAAATAAATATTACCAATACATTATAACAAACAACAAGATTTTTCCATATTATCAAAATAATAATAAGGAATAAATAAACCTGCAACACATGAATTAACAAATTATTATCTTATTTCTATAAACAAGAATAAATAAACAAATCAAACAAACAAACAAACAAGTACTACTCAAATAAGTAAGGAACAACTATCACATAACTCAGCACTATTTAAAGCAGCATTTAATAAAATATATCAACACTATATATAGCAACCTACTCTCCATATCACATAATCAACATGTCTATGAGAAAATACAAACTCTTACAGGTCGCTAAGAAAAGAGAAGCATGTATTATTGAAACTTTAGTTCAACTAATAGACAAATATGATCAACAAAGAAAGTTATGAGCCTCACAAACCTTCTTGAATATTACTTCAACTTAAGCAACTATCATGAATTCAGTTTCAGGTCCAACTAGATAATCGATTATTGATAGTATCATCGCTAGAATTTTGGATGTTGATCACATTATCTTTATTAAAGCCAATATTCTTAGACAACATATTCTTTACTTATGGACTATAGGAAAAGTAAAAGAAGAAGATCTTCTAGCTC